GTCAAGTGTATACTTATGTGATAAATGTTATTTATTTTTACTTGACATGCTTGCAACATGGCTTAAGTGAAGAATTTTTTTATGATGATTATGTTTGTCTTAAGTCATTGTTGATTATGGCTTATAATTTGTGTAGACATATTTATGTTTTTGTGCTAAAATTCTCCTGAATATGTTTTTTATGATAAATATATCTTTCTTGAGTATTTTTGAATTCTATAGGGCCTCAAATTGGTTTTGACATATTCTTTGGTGATTTCTTAAATATACATGAAGATTGAATATGTTTATTTTGTGTTCATGAATGATCTAAAAGATTTGATTTTTGCACATTGCATAAGAATTTTTGCCTTAGTGTCATTCTTGTGCTATTTGATGCTTAAATTGATATATGGCCTCTAGTTTAAGTATATATCTCCTTGCAATTGGTAACTTATGCTTAGTGAATCAATTTTTTTTTGTCTATAATGACTTAGAATATGGAATTATTTTCTAACAATTTGTATAATTTTGATCAATTAATTTTCTTAATGTTTCTAATGAAAATCCTTTGTCAAGAAATTTTTTTAAGTCTATGTTATGAGAACTTGAATGAGCATGGATGAGCCTTTATTTTAAGAATTTCAAGTATAGCAAGTAAAGCATGTCATCTTCATCAATCAAGCCCAAATACATCAAAGACTTAGCTTGAATGATGTAGAATAGAGGATTCAAAGCCTCGCTTAACTACAATGAGTACAATAACATAACTTGATAAGGATTGAGGTAATTGTATTGAATCTATACTATGTGTCTATGATTTATAATGTTTAATGCATAATTTCATAAATGCTTGCTTTGATATGTGCAAAAATGAGATATTATGTTTGAATTTGTGAACAATTTGCATAAATTAATCACCAAGCTACTTGATAAGATTTGTCTTAACTTTGTTAAATTCTTGGATTGATTAATATTCATGCTTAGTTCTTTGATTAATAATTTTTATTGCATGAATATTTGTTTGAATCTTTGGACATAAATATGAGTTGAATATATTGATTTTTTTTATCTTTTAATTGCCTTGACTCATGGATTATGAATTTATAATTTTAAAATTTTATATACATGTTCATTGATTGAGATCATTGAGATAGCATGTATCACATTATATCTAAATGTTTGTATCTTTATTGGTATATTGCTATATATGATTTGAAATGTTTTTGTATATGCTTGTATAGTTCTAATGAAAGATATGTTTGAATTGTATTTATGTACTTGCATATGTTTGGATTAAGAATATTACTTTGCATTGAAATAATTTGGATTATAACTGAATAATTATGCTTTCATTATTTCTTTGCTATAGCATATGTGCTCATCATGTTTGGACAATCATGCTTATATAATCTTTGTTATGACATTATGATAATTGAACCTCATTGCTCATTAGTACTCATGATTTATTATATACATATGAGCTTTTGGTTCTTGTTTGGATAGGATAGCTTAAGAAAGATTACTACTATCATTTATGCATGTATTGAATGAATCTTTCATATGCTTGGAGTATGTGTGCTCTATGAAAGTTGTTGATTAAAATTGCTAACAATTGGTAATAATTGGTATCAAAATTGCTAAAGAATTTTTTTTTAACTTTCATAAACACTTGTTTATGTGTCTATCCTTGATATAGCTTCTACATTTCATGCAAAATTGTGTGTGCCTTAAATTGATTAATCCTTGTTTTGAAAATGAAGAGAAATCTTAGAATACAATTTTGCTTGATTTATTTTGTGATAACAATTGGTTTGCTTTGTGATAACATATCTTTAACAATTGTTATTCTTAACAATTGGTATGAACTTGTATACATGTACTTGAATTTATGCTTAATTGCTATTAATTTTTAAGTTCTAAGCACATCTTATCCTAATATGATTTATGAGTAGATTGCATATCATTCATTATCCTTTGCTAATAAATTTTAAATAGTAAATTTGATGACTCATGCTAAAATACTAAAATTTGATACACTTATGCTTTTGTGCTTGAATACATGTACGTGAATTTCACTGTGCATATTATACTTGATTACATGTATTCAAAATACTCTTGATATTATTCTTATCAAGCATTATGTCTTATGCCTTGAATTAATCTCTCTTTCTTTTGAAATGACAAAAAAGGAGAAAAAGTTTAGAGAAATTTTTTTTGTATACTTATAGCAATTGATATAGGAGCTTAAACATTTGGTATAAAGAGCATAAATAAAATGGAGGAGAAATGTTTTATGAATATATTTGTTAATGATGCCTCTTTGTGTTTATTTACTCATTAATATGTTTATGCTTTTTTGCTATGATAAAAAGGGAGAGAAATATCATATGGACAAATTTACTTATGCTTGACATGCATATGTTTGATTGTGCTTATTTGATATATATGCTCTAAAATATGTTTGGTGAGTTGTGTTGGATTATGATGCATAAATTACAGGAGAGTTTTACCATGCATTGTTTAAGGGGGAGTTTTTCAAAATGTTTTTCAAAATGTTTTTTCAAAATCTTAAATGTTTCAAAGAAAGTTTTTCATCAAGCAAATTTATCTTTAGTTTTTGTCATATTAAAAAGGGAGAGATTGTTAGTCTTGAAATTATTCTTATTTTGAAATAACAAAACATTAAGCTAATATGTTTGATCAAGATTTTGAAAAAGATTTATTTAGTACATGTTCTTAAGTTTTATATTTTTGTACTAAATAAATAATATATTTTTCAAAATGTAAACAAACCTTTCTTTGTTTTCATATTTCTCAAATCAAATCTATCTTTAAAGATTATTTATTTAAGCTTAAATGAAAGTCTAATTATTGTTTTTAAAGTGAACTTATTCATTTTGGACTTAATACAATTTTGACAATATTGGTTTTGAGAAATATATTAACTTAAGAAAGTTATTTTACAATAACAAAGTTTTCTAACATTGAATTTATTTTTTTTTGTATTAATTCACACAGTTTTAATATTTGAATTTTATATGGTTAGAAAGCTTTTTAGTATACTTTCTAATGGATCAAACAAAATTCAAATTCAATTTTTTTAAAAAAAAATTTTAAATTTTTACTAGATACTCTGCAGTTATCTAAAAACTACACAAAGGGTAAATTTAAAAATTCATTATAATTTGTACACAATGAATTAGGTTATGAATTTTATATGGATAGAAAACCCCTTAAGTCTAAGACATATGTGTTTTGTGGAGAAGAACCGAACATCTATAAATCATTATGTTTGATTTCTCTATCCCTATGTCCTTACAATTTATTGTTGTTTATATTTGATTTTAGGTTTATTAATTGTTATTGTCTGTATTATATTTTCATCAAAAGTGTTTATCATTTTAATTTTCATTTAATTATATTAAAATTATTTATTTGAGAAGAATTTGAAGGAATCAAATTTACCTTTCCTCTTGAATCACCGTATCACCTAAAAAACTAACACTGTTTCTCAGTAATTATCTAGCTATTGGTTTTAGTTATCCAAGGTTATTCTTATTTGTAACTTTTTAAGCATTTTGACTTTCATCCCATTACAAAAATCTTTGATCCAAACAAAGTTCTTCTGCTACGTTTGGAGCCTTAGCCTCTAGATCGTTAAGCCCCATGCCCCTGCTCAGGTTCGTATCAGAATCCTAGGTGGAATTTTGGACACATGGCGAGTATCATACATATGAATGCATGACAATTGCTTGATAGAAAAATTAAACTATAGAGAAAAGAGTTGAAAATTAAAGAAAAAAGTGGATACAGATTTATAATTTATTAATGTACCAAAAACAGATTATACCAGTCGTATATACCAAATTATTCCTATTATTTTGCTAAATATGAACCATTAATTTCTAAAAATGAAGTATAAAGTGTAGTGTTAAATTTGTGAAATTTGGTCATCTTGATGCTTAACGCGTGTTCGAAAAAATTCTAGTCTTAACATTAAAGTGACAGAAACAAAGGTACGAGGTAGTGTATAAACAAAGAAACATCAGAAGCAAAAGTGGATAAATAGCTCTCTTCCTCCTGCTAAATATAGAAAACGAAGTTAAACCTGTTCAATTAGTCGTCCCTTTGTTTTATCATTTTTACAGTTCTCTTGCTATGGCTATGAGTGAGAAGTTGAGAGAGGCAGCTCAAGCATAAAATATTGATGGCTTGTATGTAATTATTATTCGGGAGGATCCATATGTTTTCGAGCGTATTGATCAAGTTCATTTTATGAATACTCCTTTACAAATGACTAAAATTAAATTTAATGATTCGTGTATTTGTATTATGTAAAATATTAAAATTTATATATTTATATTATATGAAAATTATATATTATAATTCATATCAATATAAAAATATAAAATATTTTTTTTTATTAAATTCATATATAATTATTATTACAATTTTAAATTATTATTTTTGTATTTTATTTTATATTATATTATATTATATTATCAAATTGTGTTTTAAAGTATCAACTCTAACTATAATCATATGGCCTGAGCAAATTGTTGATGTGAACACAATGTAGAGCAATTCTTTGTAGTGCACCTAATACTATACTATCGATCATGATACACTTTTTTTTTTTTTTTTGTATTTTTACATGTTTAAAGGTTTGAAATTTTTCATCATTTAGTGTTAAGAAAATAGTATGATGTCTTATATACTAATTTAAAGTTTGGCATGAATGATTTTATGTATATAGCATATAACTCAACGATTAGATTAATAAAATAAAAATTATATAAAATATTTTTACAGAGATATAATTTATTGATAAAGTGTAATGTGATCAAAGTTTAATATTTGTCAACCTCAAATATCAAAAGAATGTTGATAAGAAAACAAGAGAAGAAAAGAAAACATTTAGTATATGGGCCTCAATACCCAATTATTGGGTTATTATCTCTTATGGGCTTACCAAATTATGCAACCTTCCTTTACAGGCTCATAAAAAACGCAGGTTAATTCGGTAATTTTCTACTTAGTATAGAACCGCCAAATCTCCAATCGGAAGGAAAACCCTAAACTCTCCGGCGGCTGCACCGAAACAGAGGTATTTGTTTCTTTAAATTAAGAAAATTAATTGTCTTTTAATTCATTAATTAGGGTATCTAAATTTATTTTGAAATCTTTTTCATTTTTATCTTTCTTCTTTTCAGGTATCTCAAGTAAGAATTTCAGCAATGTCTCCAGCTAAAGGTAATTTTTTAAAAAATATTTTTCTGGTTTTTTTTTAATTTTTTTTATTTTGAGATTTTGGGTTTTTTGTTTTTTGGTTAAAAGAAGGTGATTTTTGTTCATATCATGGAAAAGTTTGTTTCTTTGGCTGAAAAATTATATATAGAAATGCGAAAAACAATTTCCTTTAGACATGTTACTATTAAATTTAGAATTTTACTGAAGTGTTGGATTTTGAGGAATTAATGTATGTTGGGTTCGAAATGTTATGTATAAATGGGTATGCAAATGGTAAATAAAGAAAAATGGTTGTTCGGAAATCTGTTGTAGGAGTAAAACTTTTTTTTTCTGTGTCTTATTTGGTTGGTGTTTTGCGGTCAGATGGTGTATGACATAGGATTGAGACAGTTAATTCAAGGTGATGGTTAGAATTGGAAGGTTGTTGTTTTGGTTGGATGAAAGTGAAATTCTTGACTTGAATTGAGTGTCCATGTTCTCTTTGCTGCTTAAAGTTATTTTTCAAATGATGAGTCCTCACTTATTAGTTTGTATTTTGGTCTCCTTTCTTACATCTTGTTCTGGTGGATTTAATTTGCTCAAATATATAAGCATGGTAGACCGAAGCCTGCTTTTGCTCAAAGATGTAAGCTGACATTGTTTACTTACCTTCAGTCGATCTAGGATAACTTCTAAAGGTTAAGATTATAATGAATTGAACTGTATACAATCTATGTCATGTGATAAGGTGAATTGTTAGGCCACTGATTCACGGGCTAAGTTCCTTTAAAATAACTTGTTTATAAATGTCCAATGTAGTCAGGGAGTTTCATTGTTCTGATTAATTGTCTTGGATTGACTGGCATTATTGTGGTGTTACATGGATTTAACATTTTTTGCCTTCTGCAGTTGACAGCAAGAAGAAAACTGATCCAAAAGCTCAAGCAGTGAAGGCTGCTAAGGCTGTGAAATCTGGTCCAGCATTTAAGAAGGCTAAGAAGATTAGGACAAAAGTTACATTTCATCGTCCAAAGACTTTGAAAAAAGACCGGAACCCTAAATATCCTCGAATTAGTGCACCACTCAGAAATAAGTTGGATCAATATCAAATCCTCAAGTATCCTTTAACTACCGAGTCTGCAATGAAGAAAATTGAGGACAACAACACCTTGGTTTTCATTGTTGACATCCGTGCTGACAAGAAGAAGATTAAAGATGCTGTGAAGAAGATGTATGACATTCAGACAAAGAAAGTGAATACACTGATCAGGTAAGTTCCATTATGTTAGTCATTTGAAGTACAAAGAGAAGCACATTCTTAGCTGTTGATAAGATTAGAGGATCACCTATAAAATTTTCAATTCTAAGTTCTAACTATATCATTTGATGAAGAGTGCATTCTAGTTGTGTTTCTAATTAGATTAGAGGTATAATAATCATATATTTATTAAAGAGAAGAATTGCAATTAGTGACTCATTTAGAACTTTTCAACTTAGAACCTGGATGAAATCTGATACAAGATCAACATACAGCTTTCTTTCGGTCATTTACATAGTCCTTTGTAGTGGCTTAGCAACTTGTTTGTGCCTGTCATATCTACTTGGCGGTTCACATGCTCTGATGCTTGAGGCAATTGCTCTTCAAAAACTGAATATTTACATAATTGTTATGAATCTTGAATTAACTTGTGTATATTCTTATGCAGGCCTGATGGAACTAAGAAGGCATATGTTAGGTTGACTCCAGATTATGATGCCTTGGATGTGGCAAACAAGATCGGAATTATCTAAGATATCTAATCGGTCAATCGATGTCTTCCATACTTTCAACAGTTTTGTTAGGAGTGATTCACTATGTTAGAGACTTCATTGTCATTTTGGCATTATATGTATCAGGAATTATGTTTCCTAATTAAATTCTGCAATGGGACTTGATGTGCTGTTATGAATGGTTTTTACTTATTAAATATTTATTAAAATCTCCTGGATCTTCAAAATTTATGGATGATTTTCTTAATTTCTGTGCAAGACTGGACAACATTTCTAGTATAGATCTAGGATCTGCCGAGCGAGTAGAAATCCAAATTGCAGTTTAATAATGCTTCCCGACAGGGATTTACAGAGTTCCTGTATACTGAAATGCGAATTGCATAAAACCCCCCTTGTGTACCAACCAAACAATCTACGAACAAAGCATAGCCAACCTAAAAGTCTTGAAATGTCCCGAAACCATTGTCACTTGTTACACCAATTGAGTACGTCCCAAACTCAAATTTCATTGTTTGTTTGTCCTATGTTGTTTGTTAAAGATTCTCCTTCGTAGACTTCTTCTGACTGGTACTATTATGATTATAAGGGACATGACCACAACGAGGACATATTCAAGGATAGAGACATTGAAACATGATATGAAGGGACTGAATTTGGCGATATGATCAGCACTGCTGATACTTGGAGGCAAAACGGTAACATCGACAGGGACATATGATGAGAACAGAGGAGAGGAAACCAGTAAGGATGCTGATAAGGACAAGTCATGTTACGAGGAAAGAAATTCAGATGTTTGGAATGAACCAAAGAAAAGGTTCTGTATCCAGTGCTGATGATCCTGCAGTAGATGGACTCCTTTTGAGTAGTTTCCGCCTTGTAAGATACCCTAAGCGTTTAAATTGATCTGCATTGGAAAATAAAGTAAAGCCGGAATTCTCTTTTTACTTAAACGGTAAATAAAACAAATAAATAAATAAAGTGAATCAGATATTCATTCCTTTGGTTGGTTATTGCACACTGCAATGTGCAACACAGTGTCGCCATCCCTGTTATTAAAGTTGAGAATTCTTTTAATCTGCGACATGCTTCAATTAGATCTTCAAAGCCTTGACAGCAGAACTTCAAAAGCTTCTAAATTGTTGTTCATCGCTGCAAGATGCAGAGCAGTTTCGTTTCTATTTGTCACATCATGGATACATTCAGGCCAAACCTTGAGAAATTTAGCCAAAAGAAGACGGCCTCCTTTCATAACTACGTAATGCAAAGATGCGTAGCCGTTCTTCCCTTTGGCATGAACAAAGATTTTTGTCGAACGTGAGGAGAGAGAGCACCATCCCCGATTGCCCATTCTGCAAAGCCAGGTGAATGGGGCTCAACCAATTATGGTTCAGCTTCGTAGCAAATGATGGCTTCAATTCCATCACAAACTCAGTAGGTCCTGCAGCTGCAGCAATATGTAATGGAGTATCAACAAACTCCATTTGATCGATCCTGCGTTGTTTGCATTTTGGCTTTTAAACTCCTATGTTGATCGGGCTGCAGATAAGCTTCATCTAAATTTTCCAGGCTTTGATACAGGTTTCAATGCTGCCAACCATGTTTGTAGTTTTAAGGAGCCTGATTATATAGCACCAACAGGCAAGGAAAAGAGGTAGAACCGGAAATCCACATACTCCTTCCCATCTTCAATAATAGCTTCAAGCTTAGCTGCTGACTCTCCTACCTCAACTTTATTTCCAGATTTATCCATCAAAGGTAAAAAGGTTTGAAAAAGTATTCCAAAAATAAGCCAGTTCTTCTCCTCCCTTTATCATAGGCCCCTGCACTCTCTCATCCCGAACAATCTGACAAACAGCACCTCGTGCATCCCTTTCCATCTTAGATTCACAGTTTTTACCAATCCAAATATATACTGCAGAAGGCACATGAACAATAAATGCACCTCTAGAATCCAGCACAGAAGGAGACAGAGCATTCAGCATTTTAGGGACTAGGTGCAAAGGTGAGAGAGGTACGATTCTATACATCCTCAATAGGGAACTGGGGCTCAATGGGAATGCATGGACCCTCTTTTGGCACTGTAACAACTGGCAAGCAAAGCCCATTTTTGGATCTGCAATTCCTCTTGCAGCCTTTACATACTGAAAGGCATCGAAACTCTGTCCCTCTCTCCACATAAGATATGCTATCGCCAATGATGTGGACCTTGATACCCCCTGCCAGCAATGAACAAAAACCCTTCCATACCATTCCCTAACATCCTCAAAATAATCAAAAACATCATTAAGTATGTTAGTAATATCCTCTGATGGACTATATTGCAACCACCAAGTTCTGTACACAAAATCAGCCATGAAATACTCCGGACAAACAAAGCCCAAACATTTTAAAACATGAGTAATCCCATTCTGTTTTAGTATTTCCCTGTCCCTTGCAACAGCATCTCCACCAAGATAAATATGCTCTGCCACTTGTGAGTATTCTTTATCAAAGAAGGCAATCTTATCCCTCTTTAGAAGCCCACCATTCTTATCGTTATCCTGCTGAATTGATGATAAATCAAGCTTTGACCTCTCACCACTCTTGTTCCCACTTAGGGTTGGAGGCTGTGGCCACTCACCAAGATCATCACAACCAGCCTTTGGCCAGTCATCCAAACTCCTCCGCACAATCGACAACGGCTGCAGAGGCGGCAAAAACTACCTGGCATTACAATTCTGTTGCGAACGAAAGGTTAAAGGAGGAGGAGGAAACCGGCGAGTTTGTCCATTATTAGGACCATAACTACCATTGGGATCTGCTTCTAGATCTTTGTCCTCGGTTTCAGGAATTTGACCACTTGTTCGGGAAGAGGACCACGAAGCCGAACGGAAAAACATTTTCCAAGAGCCAGAAAGCTGGCACGATAGAGCCCTAGGAGTAACAGGAGCATCCTCCTTACCCACCATACCCACTTTACAGTAACAACTTTAAAAAAAATTGCAAAACAAATACAAAGCTCCAACAAAACCCTACTACTTATTCACCATGCTGCCAACATTACATATTCTAATAAACTCATCAAACAAATGTAACCCAAACCCAAAAACGCTATAAAACACCTAAATTTTTACCGTTTCACTGGTTTCACCATGCCTACTTTCAATAACTGAAAATAAATCTTAAGATTAAAGCTAGAACCATTAAAAAAGATTCCAACTTGGGAATAAAAAACCTTACTTGAAATGACGAGTGGATATGCTAGCCAAAATGTGAAGAAATCAAAATCCCATGTCAGATCAACCATGAGGAACGAGTAAAGTTACTGCATACACAAAAGTTAGAGAGTAAATAAAAATCCCATCTCATAAAAATAGAAGTACAGGGAATAAAAAAGAAGAAAAAGGGAAAAAAAAAAAACCAGAGTTAAAATACAAGGCAGAAAGACTTAAGAGAAAGAGAGAAAAGATAGATTTCGGCTTACAGGGAAGGGAAAGGTAGAGGAACAAGCCATGAAAGAGTGAAGGTGACGAGAGAGATAGCGAGGGAAAAATAATACAAAAGAAAGGGAAAAGGAAATGAGGTCTAAAGAAAGAGTAGCAGGCTGGTAGCAGTCGTTTTCAATATTTTTTCCTTCTTTGTTTATTTGACTTGAGAGAGAGAAAGGAAGAGAGTGAACCTGAGCATTCAGGTGTATGTGATTCAGACATGTGAATCTCTCAACATCTACAGTTCTACACATTTTATGAATTTTTCCTTCAAAAACTCAAGAGCTAATTAAAAAAAAATTCTGCAAGAACATTTTCAATTTTAAATTTAATAAAATTCTAATTTAGAAATAAGAGAGTTGGGATAATTTTTTTTTAAATTATTCAAACTTAGTTTTCATAAATCCAAATACATATTACTTACCATTAGAGCAAATATTTAAATACAAAAAATATAGTTTATAAAATGAAAAAATTTTTAATTATGTAATTAATAATCAATAAATTTTCATATGAACCAAAAATTGTTTAAGTAACATAAAATCTACCCATATTTATACAAGTGCTTTTAAGTATTTTGTCACCATAATTTGAGATTTGATTCACGGATTGATTTAAAATATATTAATCTAATTTATAAGATATTATCTATTGCAATATAAAAATTTAAAGATTTTATTACATAAAAAATATCTTACAAATATAAATTTAAATTTGTATATATAATCATATATCACAAAGAATATCATGATGTAAAATTTGAGTATTATAATATTTTAATAAAAATAAGTAAATAATAAATAATTAAAATTAAATAGACAATGGTAATTAAAAAAAAAATATGTAAGGTTTATGAAAAAGCTTTTGAAGAACAAGCTTCCGCTGTTCTACCTTTTTGTCAAACAATGGTGTGTTCGATGGAAATGGATGATAGTTTGCATTAAGCCATTAAACTTTGGGTTAGTTCAATCAAACCATTAAACTTTGCTTTCATTTTTACAAATATTATCTAAAATTAAAATGATTGGAGCAATTAAGGACATCGAAGCTTAAATTAAATAATTAAGAAATTTTGAAGTTTACTAAATTTGCCCTTGAGTTATTGAGAATTTTATTTTTAAAAAATGATAAAAATAACATAATTCATATTAATTTTCTTGTTGATTTCGAGACTTTAAATGTTATATTCAGGGTCAATTTTTTTTCTCTATCTCCGAAAAAAAACATACAAGTTTTTATGACTCCATACCATAGGGTTTGAAGCTGCTTCCTTCAACTTCAACCAAAAGGTTTTTTTTTCTTTTGCCTTAACTTCTTAATTCATTCAGAATCTAAGAAGAACCGAATACAAGGTTTACAGTCATAAAATGTAAACAAAAAAGTCAACTTTTGGTAAAATAAAAATAAATATTCAATTTAGAACCAAACATTTAATTTGATTCTCAATTAAAAATGTAATATTTAATTTAATTTAATTCAAATTCAACTATTTTTGTATTAACTCAAATAAAAAAATTTTTTAATAAAAATAATTTAGACGCACATTAAATTAAATGTCTTGGTATATTTATTATTTAACTCACATGTCATATTTGTTGAAATGACGTACTTAATGTAGTATTTTTTATGATTACATGGCACGATTATTGTCTAAATAAAATATCAAAAATATATATATATATTTTTTATCTCTTATGAGCCACCTTAAAACTCTAATTTCGGCATCGGATCATCATCTGTGACACCAACCATCGTCGGCCTG